GTAAAACGGGCAGTAAATCAGCCACTTGAATTGAATAGAAATTTAAAAAAATTAAGAGTAAAACAATTAAAAAAAATTGCTTATCAGAAATAGTAAAAATATTTGAAATTTCAAATTTCAAGAGACGAGAGAATATGATAGAGAGCGAGGATTAATGAGAGAGAAGCAAAATGTGAAAATGAGAACTTGGTATACAATGAAACTAAGACTCTTTTATATAGGAGTTTACAAATGATGCAATAACACATTTTAAAATAAAAGCACACCTGTGGAATGTTTTGAATAGTACTACTCACAATAGATGTATCCAATAAGCTTCGATAGTGAAATTTTGTCTCCACAATATGGATCTTGTTCTTCATGGCTACAAGAAATGGCACCCATTCTTCATTGTGTGGTTTTGCTAGGTATTGTAGATTGTGAGCCAAGAATACAAAATGACCGCACTCGAAGATTCGTATTTTCTCGAGATTTGTAATTTTTTGGAGATAAATCATACTCCACTGTTGCTAAATATTTCATCGACAATCATCAAGACATTCAATAATGTTTTGATAAATTGTTTTTTCAAAATACTATGAGAGGGAGAGAATTGTGAAGACTCTGCTAATACAATTTGTAAATTAAATGAAGACTTTGAAATCAATTTTGATGCCTGGTTTTGTTTGGAAATTAATTTTGAGGAGGCTTCTGAAATCTTTAAAATTTCTTGAGTAGGGATTTTTTCAGAAGAATTACTCTTCCCTTGTCAAGATTAGAATATCCTAAAAAGTACTTGAGAAGTTTGGTGAAAGTGCTTATAAACTTGAACTTTGAGTATGAGGAGTATTTGGTTTTGAGGACAAAACAAAACCTTATGAACCTGGAGGGACTAATGTGGGTGCAGACATGCAAGCCAAGCAACCAACACAAAGCATTGAAAGGAATAACGCGGTTATTTTGTTGTTTTTCGCTCAGCCTAGTAGTTAAAGATGTGAACAACACCTCTTGGGCTAGATTTCATGGAGAGAAGCTTATTAAAGCATTTTCAAGCCCAAAATAATCACTCAAATATGTATTTTCAACTATGGTCAAGATTGCATTCATTTGAGTTTGTTTCTTTCTCTCTCATGCAAATTAGAGTTTGAATTTATTCTTTCTACGTCTTTTGCATGTAGAGTTAGAAACTAATTGCCCCATGCATGGGCCCAATAGTTAGTTAACCAAAATAGGTCACCAACCAGATCATTGATGAAATGAGGTAGATGTAGTTACGTTAGGGAGAACCTATAGAAGGATCTAGAAGATCCATAAGATCAATAATATTATTGTGAATATTATTAGAGATTTGTATATATCTTATTGGGATTACATTAGTTAGGAAACTAGGTTTAATGGTATTCCTATATATATGCTTGTATATTGTAACTCAATATTCATGAGAGTAAATATAATATGTTTCCAATCTTAAGTTCTCATCAGTCTCTAATATGGTATTAGAGCAGGTTATGCTCATGAGTTTCGACCTAACGATCAAAATCTCATTTCTTCATTTTCTCTAAGCCAAAAGTGTTTCTATCATTCAAGTCTAAGACCTCTGAATTAGAGCTACAATTTTGCTCCAATTTTATTATTGTGGAGGTCGAAACCAACTCAATTGAATTTGTCAATGGTTTTTTAAGGGAAACGAGATATCTGGAAAAAATCACAAGAACAATCAAGAACAAAGATAAAAACACGAAAATAGAGTTAAGAGAGCTTTATTGATTTTGTGCTAAGTGTTTCTGCGTAAAGCTGCGGATCCCTTTTACAAAGGTGTTACTAGAACATTTATACAAGTCTAAGTCGGCTAGGGTTTTACAAGTAAAAGATAAGGAAGCTTTCCTTGTTTCACGGGATTTCCTTTTATTGAGGTCGGCGTTCGCCATGGGCTTCGTCGTCATGGGCGTTTTCTTGCCATCTCGCCATGTCGCCATCTTGGACTCATAAGCATCGGCCCAACTTGTTGCGGTAGACCAAATAGGCTAGCTTGGTTCACAAGGTAACCTCGACAGTCTTCGCTTTACCGGTGAAAGAGTTCTCGGCGAGTCGCCGAGCTCTCCGAGATGGCATGGTCGGCAGAAACAGTAGTCGGCAGCAAGCAGCAGTAGTCGGTAGAATGCACCAGTGTTAGGCGAAATGAGTTATTCTGGCAAGTTGTTCAGGTCTCTAGAGTGAACTCGACACTATCTCATTTCTGTCAATTTCCATACTTAGCCATTTTGTGGAGAATAACTGTCGGAGGGAGTTTTGACCCCAACAGTTAGCCCCCAGCTTGGTAGTGTCTGTTAGAGAGTGCCAATCTTAAAGAAATCGAAGACGAGATCGACGTTACCATACTTAGCTTCGTGTTAAAATGGTGCCAAGTCGAGATACTTTCTTTCCTGGTTATTCTGCCGAACAAACATGCCTCCATAGATGTTGCAGCCCGACTCATATTTGTTTTTCTGATTCGACTAGACTTGTGTGTATTGACTGACACTTGTCGTCTTGCTGTCAAGCTTACATGTTTCGAAATGCTTAACTTGAC